GGGAATAAATGTATTAGGCATATAAAAAAGGACATAGGCACACATTACAAAGATGATTCATTACAAGAAGGGATAAACAGTTCACTGGATCTAAATTCATCCAGCTTTAAAACAATGTATCCTAAATTATTTGCACATTAAGTACATTACTAAAGGTATTTTCAGGACTAGAGAGTTTATCGAGCAAGTCTAATTCCTATTGATTACATTCTTTGGAAGGAGGTAGAATGTATAGAAGAAGTGAAATGGGTTTGAGGGGAAATAGAGAAAATCTAGATGTTTGTCATTGTTAACTAGCACTAAGTCTCTCAGATAGATACTTTGCCAGTTCTACTACCTCATGATGAATGAATTGCCGTGTTATTGTAATCAATATAGTAAACATAACCATTCAGAATGGAATTGTTAATGAAGATGCTTACTGTGACGATTCCAAAGTCAAACAAAATCAGCACAATTCTGTGTTAAGAATGTTTGGTAGCAGTGTAATTTAAAATGGAGATCATGACATTCCAATGTACATTGGTATTTATTTCCTCCTCTTTATTTAATTTTGCAAGTGAACACAATGATAGGCACATGGGAGATTCTTAATAATGACCATTAAATGCATGAATAAATGAATGAAATTTCTTTAGGATAGTGCAATCAAACTAAAGAAAATTTATTGTAAGGTAAAAGTCCAAATAAATGGGACATAATTGCTGGAGCTAAAGACGATGATTTCAATGAAAGATAAATTAGAATGCATAGAATTTTTAGTGGAACACACAATTGCTGCATCCTTCATTACCTGCAGTAGCACACAATTGGAGCAATGAGGTCTTGTAGTAGCTTGTTAACATTTATTGGGCACTAAGTATGTGTCAGATGCTCTCATAAGCATTGGCACATATGAATTCATTTAATTCACATAGCTATTATAAATGAAAGGCCATCTTAGCACTCCTATTTTATGGTAGACAACTTAAGGCTCACATAAATGGAGTGGGTTTCCTAAAACAGAACAATTATCAAGAAGAGTTGAGTTTTGAACACAGCCAGCCTTGTTCCTAAACCCATGCCCTTAACTACTAAAGTACTTCATTACAGAAAATAAAAATGTCCATATTTTGAGGACATCAAGCAGTCATAAAGTTTGGTACCAGAAATCATAGGTCACTGACACAGAATCCATTTATTTCTGATGAATGGAGGAGTGGATAGATCTGAGGCCAAAACACATTTCTGCTGTGTACACATTTAGAGCAGTGTTTCTCAACCTGTGGGTCATGAGCCCTTTGGGGTCAAATGACCCTTTCACAGGAGTCACCTAAGAACATTGGAAAACACAGATATTTACAATATGATTAATAATAGTAGTAAAATCACAGTTATGAAGGAGCAACAATAATAATTTTGTGGTTGGGGTCATGGCAACCCGAGAAACTCTATTAAATGGTCTCAGTATTGGGAAGGATGAGAACTACTGATCTAGATCAAAGAAATGTTTTAATGTATTTCTTCAAGGATGATTTTTAAAAGGAAGAATTTTGAAAACCTTAAGTTAGAGAAGTTTTTAGTTGGTGGCAAAAACAGAAGATTAGGAGTGGCAGCTTCCAGTTGTTATTTTGAGCAATAGTCTGTAGGGGAAGCTGTAGCCACGCCTACTTAGGGGCTGGCTACAGGTGTGTCTGACCACACCTGCGAGGGTGTGATCCGGATGAAGTAGAGTGAGAGGTGGTCACGTGGCCGTTTTTTGGGTTCAGTTTCACTTTCGGCTTGCTGTACAGACTGCTGCCAGCCAGCTGGCTAGGTCACTATAAGTAAAACCTTTTTCCCTATTAAAATCCCTTATATTTTTATCTGGCTTTGTATTGGTATTTCCCACATTAATAGTCCTCTGAGTAATATAGAGAATTATTTGATAACTGCATAATTGATAGCCTGACAGCAGCCTGACGTCCTCAGAGACATTCCCATTGAAGATTCCAACCTATGGCATCATATTTCCTGTGTCTTCTCTTTCTGAATTTAGTAGGGTTGGCGGAGTTACAATGATGTTCTATGCTGACCAAAGTCCTTCCTTGTTCTCAAGATAAGTATTGTCATTCTATACAATAAGCTAATTGAGATAAGATTGCATCCATTATTGCCTTACAAGCAAAGACTCCTTTGCTCCAACACCTTTAAAAAGAAGGTGCACATTCACTTTAGGAAGAGATTTTCAGAGTATACCAACTAGAGAGACTCTTTGGGGATTAATATTCTTATCTTAATAAGAACAAAATATTGCTGATGTAAATACAAATTTGGAAAAGCATCATGGAAAAGTTAAGTATTTGTGAACTAAAATTGGTCACATTCATCTTCCTCATATTCAGATAATCAGACATTAATGACATTTCTTATGAAACAATTTCCTTGATTCCTCAAAACTGCAGTTTTTTTTTTTCTTCTGTAATTGGAAGCTTTAGTAGCTTTGTATGTTTAACCGTAGGCTTAAATATCCTAAGGTGTATCTGGCCTTTACTGACTTCATGCTTGCCTGCAAAACCAGCTTTTGTAGCTTGACCCATGCATAAAATACATGATCATATTCTTTTCTTATGACAACTGCCATCGCTGCCATGCTCCAAATGGAAATAGATGTTGTCCAAATCAACAGACTTGAAATTTCTATTTAGGCTTATTTTACCACATGTGTGCCTAGTGCCCATGCGGGTCAGAGGGGGTATCAGATCACCTAGAAATGGAGTTACAGATGATTGTTAGCCACCATATGGGTGCTGGGAACTGAACTCAGGTTCTCTGCAAGAGCAATAAGTGATCTTAATTACTGAGCCATCTCACTAGTCCCCAAAGCAATAGATTTTAACATGTGCCCTTGGTTTTTCTTCACTATTTTAATTCTTAAGGATGACTTTATACTCTTCATTTGGACTACATTCTAGAGAGTGACAAAAATGACACATATAAATGGGGAATGAGTAGAAGAAGCTGGAGAGGTTGAATCTGGTGAAATCAAGGTTCAGTAGGGTCATGGTGACTATTTTGAACAACTGATTGTTAGGGAAATAGCAATTGGAAATATGAAGTAGAGCCAATGGGCAGGAAACTAGACAAATGGAGATGCTTTCTAACAGATTATTCCAAAGAAAAAATGGATTTCTTGGAGATTGAGTGTGATCCAGTATAAGCTGATACATTCTTTTGAAGGTGCTATGGCTGGATGAATAGTTAAGTCTATAGCATTTAAGTTGCTCCCCACACTGCGGCTGCTTTTGTACTTATGCATATTCGGGGGAACTCAAATTCCCTCATTGTTTAACTATACTTTAAGCTGCAGGAAGAAACATTACTAGTTGCTACTTACTTTTCCTCTCTCCTCACATTCCAGCATAATATGCCACTTTAGTATTATAGTCACCTTGACAGTCAAGGTGTTTATTTTAATAGCTTTCAGCAACATTATTCAAAGAGAATCTGTTTCTCAATAATGTAGGGAATATCTTCAGCGTTCTCTTTCTTTTCAGACCTCAAAGACTCTAGCATTGAAGATATGCTTTGAAATTAAAATCATTGTAAATCTGCTGAGTCAGAGAGTATCAAGCATACTTGGAATAAGTAGACGAGAATGTTTTAGCTTAGCATAATGCAGAAAAAAATTTTCTCCTCTAATGTGCATAATAATTTTACTAACTCAAAGGTGTAGGTCAGATTTTATAATCTTCTCTAATTTCAAACAACACACACACACACACACACACACACACACACACACACACTCCTGTGCATAAGCTGATGAAGCTGCTGTGGAGACAAAGTTGTTATTTCAGACACTGCCCTCAACTACAATCCATTTTATAAGTTATTATAAATCATGGGAAGATATTATATTTGAAAAAAATATGCAAGGTTAAAAATATGAAGAAACAGTATATTGGGGAATTTATCAGGCACGGTTCTTCCACTAATGGAACAATCTTCAAATCAGGACACATTCTATTGCATTAAAAATGAAGTTATTTTAATGACCAATACTTATTTCTTATAGTAACAAATATTATTTACCTAAATGTCTTCTGTGTATAGGTATTGTATTGAGCCCTTCTCATTTGTTATCTTCTTTTATATTTATAAATAACTGAAGAGTTGGTAATATATTCTCCATTCTACATATCAAAAACCAGAGCTTGAGAACACCTTGCTCAGGCTATATATTTGATATTAAACGAAGGCAAAGAAACCAAGTTTGACTCAAGAGTTTGATTTAGCCATCCATCTATGACTCTCTTCTTTTGTAACAGTGGTTGTCCTTTTGTGATTTGCCATTGTCCGCCATTCTAAATTTTAAAGAAAGCTGCACCTAAATGAAGATGTTAACTGCTAAATGATCTTTAGATTTACAAAACCCGGAACAGCTGGATGCCCTCACACAAAATCAAGATGTGTCCATTTTTATTCAAGTTCTGTGCATCAGCAAACAAAAAGCATGCCAATTGCTGTGAGAATTAACTCTCAGGCCAGTTGTATTAATTTAAAAAATACAGAAACTAGTCCAGGAGGTCAGCATCAGTTATCAGCTTCTGGAGTGGGAGTCACACACTCGGGGACAGGGAGTTGTTTTGGGTACTAAAGCCTCTCAGAGAACAGAACTTCTTTCCTGATGTCCCTTGCTCTTCCCTTTCGTCTCCCTACAAGTCCATTTCTTTCTATACCCGAGTTATCTAAAAATGTCATTCATGTAGCAACAAAGAGTCATTTTCTCAGGTGCTAGCCCTTAAATAAACCTGGCTTTCTTCTTCTAGATTTCACCTCAGAGTACTGGCTTTTGAACAATGTGTTGATGGACGTGAGCCCACTAACACCTTCGTGTGCATAATGCTAATGTAACTGTTTTATTTGTTCCAGGTTTATGCAGAAAATAAAAGTAATAGTTTCTTTTTTTACTGGAGTCCAGTGATTTCCCTTCTATTGGAGATTCAGCTTATCTGTCAAGCATGGAAGGTTACACTCACCTCGTTTATGAAGGAGAACACTGGCATGCCGACGTCCATTTCCATTTTCAACATAACAGGAATAATTCCCCAGGTCACCTTCTTCCACAGAGTCAACAATTAATGAGATAGAAACTTCCTGTTCTCCAAGATGTTCCTTAAGAATTCTAAAACATAAAGGAAAACGCAACAAAAAACCCCACACAAACATACACATACACATACATGAAAAAGAAAGAAATGTAAATGAATCTGAATCTGATGAGAATATACCTACAGAGTCTGTGATTCAAATCTGGCTATGAATTGATGCTAAGTTAATTAAATGGTAGCATGCCCTTTTCTTCTTCACTTCTAATGAAGAAGCTTGTCTTTGTAGATGCTAATGAACTTGCAGTTAATTATCTCTCATAGCAGGACCATCATGCTGTCATAATAAAGAGGTGAAAGAGACCTTGAAGGAAAGTTTACAAATTGTTTTTCCTTTAAGAAGAAATATGATATAAAAATGAGATAAGAGATTTTAAAATGTTCGGCTGGAGGCCTAATTATATATCAGATTATTTTTTAAAAGAGTAAGAAAGGAAGAAAACATTTCTGAGTTATTTTGACTTATCTGCTGAAACCTCCAGCCTTACTGACTTTTCCTAATGATACAAACAAGCTGCATAATTTTAAAGAAATATGAAACCATAAACCCAGAGGCTAAAAGTTCTGATGGGTATTTAATTCTGACTCTTAAAATAATGGTAAATGCTCACCAATCTCATTGTTAAATATTTTAGTAATCACTTAGTACAAATGGAAACTGTCTTAAACTAGGTGGCCTATTTCCTGGTCTCAGTATTCCTAGTTCCAAACTACTGGAACTGGATGATGGACTCAAAAGTATTGGTAAATGATAAAAAGTGAAATTTTAAATATGAAACATGGCAAAGAAAGATTTTCATCCATATTGGAAAATTGCCCATTTGGATCTTCCAGAATCCAATTAGAGCAGTCCAGTATGAGATACTGTGGATTTGTTGCCAGAGAGAAGATCCCAATAGAAATGATCTACTATGACAGTTTTATATATTTCTGCTTCTTACTGAAAAACATTTCTCTTATATATTTGTTAAAGTTTTAAAAGTCTTGATATTTAAAAAGGAGAACCATCACTTAAATTCTTATATCCAGTCAGAAGATTCAACCTCTATATGGAAGAGTATTTAGAAAATATTCATCATTTGTATTTGGATATAACTTAGTTGTCATTATGAAAGTCCTTGATCATTTACATTATGATTATAACTATATCTACATGTCCAAATAAAGTTTGCTTCTTCAATGAATACTTTGATACATAAATATAAGTAAATAAATATGTAAGTACATTGAAAAAGTATAAACATTATGCCCTCAAAATAGATAGCTAAATTTTTTAATATTTGTTCTCCTATTATTATTTCCTCTTCATAAATATTTAAACCTTAAAGTTAGAGTGGGAAAGACAACAAAAAATGCATTCGTTCCATCATCCCATCAAACATTTTATATTCTACTCGGTAGCTTAAATATGTAAAAACAGCGGGGCATTGGTGGCGCACGCCTTTAATCCCAGCACCCAGGAGGCAGAGGCAGGCAGATCTCTGTGAGTTCGAGGCCAGCCTGGTCTCCAGAGCGAGTGCCAGGATAGGCTCCAAAGCTACACAGGGAAACCCTGTCTTGAAAAATAATATGTAAAAAATCCAAGGAAAATATAAAGGCTGCATTTGAGTTCATGTAGTGCCTTGCTAATGGTTCCTTTCGATATTTATTTCTACAGACAGTGTCTTACTCTAGCCAAGGCTGCCACTGAATTCATCGTGTGACCCAGGTTGGCCTTCAATTCACAGCAACTTTCCTGCCTGAGATTATCAAGCACTGTGATTACACATATTAGCCACCATACCTGGTCCTCTCCGTAACTTTTAAAAGATGCTTTGATAAATGAAAAGCACAATGATTTTCTTAAGGTTAGAATGGGCTTCAATATTTTCCATTATTTTGGTTTTAGTGTGCTACTAGCAAAATGTTCCTTTGGAAATCATTCTTATGTGGAGAAGGAGGATATGTTTATGAATATGGTCAAAAAATACTGCATGAAACCCCAAAGGATTAATAAAAATATTTAAAAAGAAAAGAAGTACTCCTAATTTTTTTGCAAATGGTATTCATATTTTGTAATTCCATAGTCAGTCTGAGAAATTCTTTGGTTCTTTGACATAAAGCATTACAGTATTTCTGCTATGATAATAGAAACATAAAATGATTAAAAATCTTTTTTTTTGTTTTAGCTTACCCTTCCCTAACTTAGCAGAGCAAATGTTAACTCAACTGCCCTTGTTTAACAGAAGAAAAATGATTTTACCTAATGTCACTTTCCCAAACTCTATTTTCATCCAGATCTTCAATAAACTTCTCTCCTTTCATCCAGTAAATCAAAGGACTGACATCTCCACTGTATCCGAAGAAAGCTCTGCAGGTGAGGTTGGCTGAGTCACCTGTGCAGGAAAAGGATGGAAACACAACAGAAAACCATTTGTACCTGTGTGTTTAAAACAATTTGACCCAGTATGAATTGCATCATTCCAATGATTTGAAATAGCTAAGAGAATAATTGTTCAAGAATTTTCCACTTTTGTCAAGTTTATCCAATGTATCATTTTTGACATTGTGTTTATTTAATGGAATGAGAGTTTCTTGTGAGTTTTAGAAGAGGATCAGTTAGGATCTTATAGGATATTCTTCCATCGAGGCTTTATGAGTTTTTCTTATTATTAGATTGATAGACTGAGAGTTTATGAATTATTGGCAACAATCACAGAAGAAATATGTCCTTCTCAAGGCATTCCATCACAGGATACATGGAAAAACAAAGCAGAATCTTTTTCAGGAAGAGAAGCAACTATAACCCATAGGTCAAGAAAGTCCTGCTAAGATACTTTGAATTCATAAAGAATATCATTTTCTTAGCAAACTAACCATATTATGTAGAAATTTGTATTAAAATGAATAAATTTATGGTATAAATATTTGGGGTTTTCATTGAGATTAATCGAGAATATGTATGATAGAGATAAAGTTTTGTTTCGTTTTTTTCAGTATTTTACTTTCTATAATTAGATTCTTTCTTATGTATAATGGCAGATGGAGGTTAGGTGGCTACTTTCATAAGGTAGACATAAGTTCTTGACTAAAATGTACAAGTGAATCAAATGACTCCAGAACACTGAATTTATCCTTTGCCAACATTACACAACTGAAATAGTCTAGCTCTAACTAGTTATATAAGCTTCCTGGCTTCAAGTGGAGCCATAAAGTAAGAGTCCAGTAAGAGCCTACCCCAGTAACACAAATGTAAGAGAACACTTAGCCATGGTTGCCAACTGAAGAACTGAAATGTGTGCCCCATTGACATGTCTGCTGACGTCTAGAGTAAACTAACTCTCTCAATTCAATGTAGCAATAAATTATAACAATAATCTGTGTGACTCTTTGCTCACTGAGTGCCAAGAAGGTAGTTCCAAAGTACTGGATGCCTTCTAAGCAAACTATGAGTAGTAGTGGAAATTTTGAAAAATTGTGCTTGAAACTTCTACAGGATAAGCAAAGAGGAAAGTACAATGTACTCTGCTCCCCTCTTTTAAAGAGCAGGGCACTTTGCCCACTTGGTTCTATACTTTTGATAACAGAAATGTTTTTTTTTGTTGGCTAAAATAACTGTCATTATTTGATTTCTGTCAGTTGTACAAGAAAAAAATCCAAAACAGATGTTCTTAAGATGTCATAGCCTTTTGTATTTGCTCAATTTTTAATATTTTCTACTAGATTTCTAAACATCCTGATTCTGTATGTAAGAGTTATTCACCATTGGTAAGTTAGAACAGGCAAGTCCATAAAATAGCTACAAGCTTTTCAGAGTCAAAAACAAAGCTCCTGCCAAGCTAAGTGGCACACTACTGTAATCTCAGGGATTGAGGAGTAGAGGCAAGAGGATCCCAAGTCTGAGGCCAGCCTAGATTGTATTGTTCATTCCTGGCCAGCCTTGGTAACTATATAAGAAGACCTCTCTTTAAAGGACTGACACTGCAGATAGGTTGTAAAGTACTTGTGTAACAAGTTTCAGGTCCTGGGTTTGATTCTCAGCAATGAAAAAAGGAAAAAAAAATGTTTGTTATCGCTTTTTGTAACAAACATTTTTATGTAGTTTAATATTGAATTCACTTTTAGGGAGCAATTATATTACAAAAGATAACTAGACATCAATATTCTTAATCGCCATTCGAGTATATATTTCTATTGAATGTATTGCATAATGCTAATTTTAAATGAAGTATTCTTTGCAGTCTTTTGAGACAAGTCTTTGCAATGGAGACCAGGGTGGCTTTAAATCTAGGACCATCCTACCTCAGCTTTCCAAGTGGTGGAATTACAGATGTGTGTACATTTACACCTGGATGTGCATTTAAGGTTTGAGTAATTACTTTTATGCAGCTGAAATGTCTGTTACCATGTCAGTGTAGCCATAATTCACCAGCAAATCTCAAACGGAATCAACATACATAACTTAAAAGGCACATATCAATAATGTAGGTAATGTGCTATTTGAAGGATAAAGTTTAAGTTTTGAGGGAAGATTCAGTGCCTCTAAGCAATAAATGAAAATATCCAGAGATTGCCTAGCTTTACAGTACAATTTTGTTAAAGACACAGAGATTGTACCATGAATAATTGAGCTTGACGTTCGTTAGCTGAGACTGACTGATGCTCTGACTCTGACCTGAAATAGTCCTTCACATTACTCCCTTACCCGACCAGACAAAGGAACTTTGTAGATCCCTGTCACTTTCACTCTCTTCAAGCTTTGTGTTGTTCCACTTAGGAAACGACTCCTTCACTCATGCAATTCTTTCTTTCTCATTTTGCTTTTACCCGGTCTTTCACCTCCAAGATTGATTTTATCTGCATTGCTACAAGAGTAGGAGAATCCCATCTAAAATACTAGAATAATAAAATTTAAGGAAAGAATAGAAGAAGATGAATGGCAGAGTAGAAAGAACATCAAAGTGAGTAACTGAGGAAAATTTGGAGGAAATAAAATGACTTCCCCATGTGGGAAGATGAGGTGTTCATGGAAAATGGATGGAAGGGAACACATAAGTAGGTACAGAATATTGATAAGACCAGAGCAACAGCAGCTCTGTTCTTCTGTGTAAGCCATTTTGAACAACTGGGACTTTCATTTGAGAAAAAAAATTGGCAAGCTGGGGAAAGGTTTTGAACAGCATCTGAAAAGAAATCTCATCTGTCATGCAAAATCCATCTCTCATTGCATTTTCAAACATAGGGTTGGATCAGAGAGGATCAAGAAGTACTAGGATTACAGTACTCTGGCATTACTTAATAAGTCATCACTGCAAGTATCAGACTGTTAATGAATAATTGTTTCCAAGGAAAAATAGTACATAGAAGCAATGACTATAGAATTTTATGCTAATACGAATGTGTTACCAGGGAATATCTCAAAGCAGAGCTTAATAGGAAGCTTGAGAGACTAGAAGGAAAGCTTAGTGGTTAAGAGCACCCACTTATTCCACAGGACCAGGGTTTGATTCCCAGCACAGCACCTACATGGTTATTTGCAACCATCTGTAACACCAGTTCTACAGGGATTGACTCTGTCTTCTAGTCTCTGTGGGCACTGCACACACCTGGTACACAGACATGCATGCATGTAACACACATACATATTTTCTCTCTTTCTCTCTTTCTCTGTCTATGTCTCTGTCTCCCTCTCTCACATACACAGATAAACAAATATCAAAACTTAACATTTTTAAAGCAGGTAGTTTGATAAAATAGATGATAGAAAACACAGTTTTCTTCCTATACTTTATATGTGTCACAGTGATGTTTGTATGAGAATGAGAGAGTGAGAAAGTGGGAGATGAAGGAGGAGAAAAAGAGGAAGGGAGCAGAAGGAAGAGGAGTGAAGAGGAAAGGAAAGGAAAAGAAAGGAGAGAGGGGAAGAAATTGATAAGCTAATTTTGAAGTGCAAACATCTCTTTCTCAATATAGGCCATAGGGAAAGTCAATTTAATGATCTGTGCTGTTTTGTAAAGAGAGTTTTCAGTAGTTTCTCTGAATTGTTTCCGTTTGTGTTGCTGAGAAAAAGGCTCCGGTCCTCATCTTGTGCATGTGGAATCTCTTTTCAGAGAGGAACAGTAAAGTCCAACTCACATGGGAAATTCTACCCAACGGCTAACATTCTTGAGAAAAACTCAGTGAACTATTGCACTTTTCCCTTGGAAAATGGTGACTAAGCAAATGTATGACACCTCTGACCTTGGATCCTAAGTGTGTTGTTGGAAATTAGCAATGATGGATTATTATCCTTTTCCATCAAGATGAGTAAGAATCAAATTTGACAGAAATCTGAAGAAGACAATGCATGTATATCCACTAGTGACAAATACTACAAATATATATTGATTGAGAAAGACAAATGATAATTTGACAAACAAAGATGATGTGATTGTGTTTAAACCTGGCCTAATAAAGTCACCCAACAGGTTTAAAACATCTATCTTCTAACAATAGCCATTCATTATGAATTTCATACTCTTAATGCTACGTAACAGCATACATACTTGTGGGATTCTTTTCGTTTACATTTAGTACATTGCTCACAGCTTGAATCCCAATATATTGTCCTACCTTTCAGAATAATACTCAGCTACCTGTACTTTTCTTTCCATACTTATTAGAATATATTTGTTTTATATAATATACAGTGATTAAACTTTTTGCATGTCTGCCCAGCAACTAGAGCCAACCATTCCTTAATGTAGAGATTATAGCTTTATTTACCTTTGTACTAGCAAGATGTATTTCAGTGTCTTGAATACATTAGAAACCCAATAAGCAATGAGAAATTAGTAATATTCTTAATAGTTTTTAAATTTGTACTTGATCTCAATTCCTTTTTTTCATTTTTGAGAAAGAGTTTTTCTGTGTAATTCTGGCTTGCCTATAACTCAGTATGTATTGCAAACTGCCCTGGAACTCCTGTTTCTCCTTTCTCAGCTTCCCAAGTGTTGGGACTATAACCATGTACCACCATAGCCAGCTTCTTGTTTTGCTTTTGTAAAGTTTTACTACATCATTATTTTAAGGCTATACATCTATATATCCCAAAAGGCAAAATTTCTCTTATAAAGTAGGTTTCACACTGCAAATGTAGAGCCTCCTAATTCAGATGATTTCTTCAACAATATGTTGAGGTAAGTTATCAGTTGATATGAGTTTATATCAACATGCTCCTAAATCCTATAAGCAGGCTGATAAACACAGTAATTAAAAGTTAAATTATAGAAACACAATTAGTTGACTAAATCAGAAATAATGGATGCTAAATATTTGCATTTATTTTGATACATTGTACTGTAATTGATGTTCTTGTGATTGTTCAAAATGATAATATCTATAGGGTGGCCAAGTA